CCGTACCCACCTTCCCCTCTAACACAGTTACCGTACCCACCTTCCCCCTCTAACGCAGTTACTGTATCTACCTTCTTCTCTTTCCCAAGTATGAACAACTTCCTCTGAATCACCAGGTTCCATTGCTTGTACAGCAGCCCTTTCAACACCTCTGTCAGGTGTCACCTCTGTCACCTCTGCAGACACACCTGTGTAACTGTCAGTGAAAAATATTCACAATTATGTTTTTCACAAAATTGTACGATTTCACTGACAACTTGGATTAAGCATTCAGCTGATGACATCTTCTGTGTTCATCCCCACAACAGGCTGAGCACTGATTCCTGCAGCAGTTGGAAATAAATAAATGTTATCGTAGCCAACCCTTTGTTCTCAATCAACTCCTTCTTATTTGTTCCCAGTCTTTGTGGAACAACTTTTCCCTAAGGAGGAAATGAAAAGAAAAACAATGATCCTGGCTCTGTACTGTGCTGATTTGTGTTACTGTTTGTAAGTACTGCAGGCAGATTGTAAACTGTACTCACAAAGGTTTCATAACAGAGCTAATATCTAATGCTAGTGACAGCAACATCTCCAAGGCAATTTGATGCCATCTTGTAAACTGAGTAAACAATAAAAACATCTCACGACCTTTCAGCATTTTCAACATTCAAACCTGCATTTAAAGATTCAACAAAAGGGTTACTATATTCTGGCTGAATTCCCCAAGTCATGATGTTTTTCTAAGCATTGGTTCTCTGTATAAGGCACACTTTTATCCACGCACACAGGCTATGTCTCCTTCTAGGCTATGGTGCTCTCTTTCCTGGGAGCTTTCGCTTTTCCCTCTTCCAGGGATGAGGTGACATCTCACGTCCACCTCATTCAGAAGCATATTCAGGTCTTCGTCTGGGAAATGATGAGACTTTCTCTTCTGTGCTGACATGCAAATGCATAAATGCATGTCAGTGAGCCCCACATAGAATCATTAGGTAGCATAAAATGGAAAATGAAGCAAAATAAATTTTACAAGAAAATTGTAGTAGTTTAAGAATGTTTGTGAGAGCTTTACAAGGTTAATTGTGTGAACTCCAAGTTGAGCTGCTGACTGTCCTGAGCTTCCACAGGTCCATCCTAAAAGCAGGGTATTGTCAATGTCAGTGAAGCTGTTTCTGGTTATCACTTTATGGCTGCTTCCAATTGGCAACTGGCATTATCTGCAACACCTCATGGTCTGCAATACCCTGCTGTGTAAAGGAATCCACTGAGTCTCTCCATGCATAAGAGAACTAAATGTATCTCATTCCCTCTTGCCAAAGAGATGTACGCAGAGCAAGTGCAAGGCTTTTTAAGGGTTGCAGGCTTTCCCAAGGCACAAAATATCAATCAAATACTTGCACATTGCCTTGTTTGCACCTCATGTTTAAAATACTTTTGATATTCAGTACTCTGCAGCAGGAAGCTAGAAATGTTTGGCTTTGTTTCAGATTTCCATTGCATGATGTACAACCAATCAATCATCACCAAACGAAACCGCAGCAAACGATGAGCCCATTAAACAGCATCAAAGAAAGTTACTAACAAGTCAGTTCAAATGCCTGTCTCCATGCCTCAGTACCTGTTGAATTGGCTGCCAGGAGATATCACTCATGCCTGCATTTGTCATGCAGAGCACCTACCTTGCGCTCACTGCAACCTTCAATGTGCTCTTGTAAGATGAAGTGCCGTGACTTGCAGTTATATTGTTACATAGTGTGAACGATCATGTTAAAATTTTGTCATTCACCTGTCACACCCTGAGTCACAATCCTGGGATCCCCATAATTGTGGAGTATGCATCCACAGGGGAGCGATGCTTTAAGTACAGTTGATGACAGGCAAAAAATTTTGGGCATGTTAGTGGCGCCCATATCCTATTATTGAATACAAAATCACATTTCAGCCTGGTTACTCTCTGGAGTTGGTACTATGCCCTATATTTGCAAAGAAAGGAATGGTGGTGAAATTGGGCCTAGCAGCATCCATTTTTGGAAACTAGGAGGCCTGTGAAGTTCCAAATATTGTTTGACATCCACATGTACTTCTGACACAGGGTGCACAGGATGCCATATTTAAAGGGTTAGCGTGAGCAGGATTTAACATCACAGACCATAAATTGCCTCCTATAAAGGATGTCAGTGATGGATTTTTACAACAATCAGTGATAGTTTCACGGTCACCAAAACTGAGACTAGCTTTCAAATCCAGATTCATAGATTCATTTTAAATTCTACCAGTCATCATGGTTGAGTCATAGTCACCAGATGGCCTACTTCTACTCCTATTTCTTATGTTCTCATGGTAGGTTTTGAACTTCTGTTCCCCCTGAATATTAGAGCCAGTAGTAGGTAAATGAATCCCAGGAATTCCCAAGAACATTTAATAGATACTTCAGCTGAGGTTAAGAAAGATGACTCTGCAGGGAACTGTACAATGAAGAGAGGCAGAGACCTCAAAATGGCATATGAACAGGGAATTCTGAGGTGTAAGATGACAATAATGATGGATTGTACTGATCTTGAGGAATAGAAGTGTTGCGAGGTGTGTGTTTGGTCACAGAGTCATTTGCCTCCTGCTGTCCTAAACAGTACTTCTGTTTCGATAGTATGTGGAACTGCTTTGGTTGAAATGTTACTGTGATTCATGAAGTAGTTAGCATTGTCACAAGGTTAAGGTGTATAAAGTGTTAGTGATAACAACCTGCTGAGGTCTGAAGACAATTGTAGATTCTTGTAGAATAGTTTGCGTGTAAAATTTTCTAAGTCCTGATAACTATGTTGTTAAATAAACATTCCATGGAACAAAATAGACACAAATAAAAGTTGACATGGAGCATGATGTGGCAATTGTCTTGAGAGATGTTTCTATCAACCTATTCAGCTTTGTTATTGCATGTATCTGAAGTATGTAGGACTTGTACTCAAGCCTCCTGAACCAGTGGTAGTGTCCCTACCTCAACAGCCCCATCACAATTGTCGTGAAAGGATATTGTTGGTTTTGGGAGAGTCAATAGATATTTTCTGAACAACCTGTTCAGACATGTTATTATATGCCTCTGGAGCAGGTTGGACTTGAAGACCTCCTGTCCCAGAGGTCGGGACGCTATCACTGTACCATAAGAACGCCTAAATGATTATCTTTAGGAAGTGTGAAGACCTGCAACTTGCCCGATCAGGACATTATTGCATTGCGTTAAAAAAAGACTGATGTTTTTCATCAGTGTTAGACAAGTGTTAATGGTGTCAAGTGTTGAGAATTAGAGAAAGAAAAGCACATTGTCTTTAAGTCACATCAACAACTTGCTCACCCTACTTGTTAAAGGTCCTTCGAAATGATGAAGCTCCTTTTGATGAAGAGTACACAATACTAATAGAAGAGATTGACAAAAATTGTGAAATCTGTAAGAGATATTGGAGGCCATCACCACATCCTGCTGAAAACTTTCCTGTAATAACTCTGGAAGTCAGACTGGAAAGGAACATCATTTATTGTTGAACACCAAAATAGAGCCACTACTTGTGACGTACATAGGCTAGCCCGAAACAGTCAGTACTACAGAGCCATCCCTGGGTCTGCTTTTTGAAGGGCTCTAGCTGTGCAGGCCATTGCCTGTTATCAGGAGAACTCGTACTCTCCCACCGGGAGATTAATTAGTGACTTCCCCACGGGCTTTGTAGAGGTTATCGTACTTCCGCTGGCAAATGATTTTAACAAGGGAGTTACCATGGATTCAAAGATATGGAGCAGAAAGAAATATCTTCATTCTAACTTTTATAGACATAGCAAAAGGATTCAGGATCTCTGCAATAAACCTTTGTAAGAACACAGCCGTGGCTATAGACAAATTCATGGAGAAACGAATTGGAAGAGGACTTGAGGCATGAGCTAAGTTTCTGACTGATAATGAAGAAGGATTTGCCAATGATGAGTTCAGCAATGTATGAAAATATAAACACCCTGGTCGTGAATACGCAGATGAAAATGGACTCTGTGAGAGAAGTCATGCAGTGTGTAAAGAAACATTGCACAACACTTTAGCTGATCTATGAGACTGAAAGTTGATGCTTGCAGGCTGACAGGTTGTTCATGCAGAAGAATTCATTAAGGTGGCTGTACAGTATAGTTACTACCAATTGCTCTAAGAACAAAATCCTAATTTGCCTCTGTGCTTGGAATAGTCCTGGATGCCCACTCTGATCAGCCATTTTGCATTCTTTCCCAGGTGGCATGTATTTTTGGAAAGGTCCATCAAATCTGCTCCAGTTGCAATGTCATTCTCCTTTAAGAAGTGCACGCTAGATCTGAAGTAGTCTGAGATGTTTACAATATGCACAACAATGTACAATATGTCAATGGCCATTCAGCTCGTGAACAACATGGGGAGTGCTGGCTGCGATAAGCAAAGTGTTAGTATGCTACCTGCAATCCACTCAACACATAGGGTTAATCCCACACCATCAAACCTGCATCAGGTTTCAGGGACAAGCTAATTTAGAATTTTACAGCAAATCATTCACATTCTTTCTCAACCTCAGGACATCTCAAAGCACTTTACATTCGAGGAAATAATTCTGAGGCGCAGTCACTGACGTAGGAAAATCAGCAGGCATTGTGCACAGAGCAAGATCCCATGAGCAGCAATGACGTGAACAATCTGTTTTGGCACTGTTGCTTGGGTATATACATCAATGAAGATGCTGGTTAAAAACCCCTTCGCTCTCCTTCGAGCAGAGCCACAGGGTCATTCAGGTCTGGAGAGAGGGTGAACCAATGATTGTATCTTCAGAGTTAACAGTGCTACCAGCTGGAACACAGCACACAACTGAGTGATGTTACGCAGCAGTCTTCACAATACAACTGGAGTAATCTGACAGTTTATGTCACGTAGCCCTCCACCATAAAGTCTGATCAAAGCAGACCCTGTCAAATTTTCAGACGTGTTTGTTTAAAGAAAGATGTGGAGCTTAGAAAGCTCCATCTAGTGGGCGATATGGGTATCTACTTGAGGGACTGTGTCGCAGAAAGATGGTGCCTCAATAAGGAATTATTGTCCCAGTCAAGTTGCCAGTTGGGACATAACAGTTGAATTTAGTGACCATCTTCAGGGGAAGTGGCGTGGATATGGTGTAAGATTGGCTGAGTTTCCTGTTATTGAGCATTTCCTTGTAGCCTCTGCTG